TTCCTAATGAAAGATGGTGGGACCTTTTGTTATTGAGGCCATTCCTAGCGCCTTGACAGTGTGGAAGAACAGACTTGATTTTCTGTTCTCTTTAGCAGTAAGCTAGTGTCTAGATTGTCTAAAAGTGGTTTCAGATTATTAAGAGGCAGGTTTAAAAAGAGAATCAAGGTACATCCCTTCCTTTTCTCATCTGTATAATAGGGATGTTATTAGTGTTTCTCTCAAAGGGTTATTATGATGATTCAGCATGTAAAAGCAGTTAGAATGGAGTCTGGCACATAGGAAGCATTCAGGGTATCTTGACTGTTATTATTGTTATTATCATTTCTCAGAACTTTTTTTTCTTTGGCCATACCATGTGGCTTGTGGGACCTTAATTTCCCGACCAGGAATCAAACCCATGCCCCCTGCAGTGGAAGCGAGGAGTCTTAACCCCTAGACAGCCAGGGAAGTCCTCATTTCTCACAACTTTTGTCTGATTTCACAAAAGTAAGTCTACTGAACTTCAGCCTGTAAAGGGCAGGTTTTTTGAAATAATTGGTCACTGGCGTCTCTTGAACTAATCACATAGTTCAGACTAAGGCTTGGTACACAGAGGTGGAGGCCAGGGGAAAGTCAGTAACTTTAAGTTGCAGATTGCCTTAGTATTGTTCTTGATAGATCTCTTTGGAGGCCTATAAAAGTCAATGGTAGAGTTACTGTTTCTAAAGTCTGCTAGCTCCTCAGTCAAGAAAGATGGCTTGAGAAATTCAGATTAGACCATTTTAAAGTAGAAATGGATGATGTCTCTTTAAACATGGGGTTTACGCTAAGGTCATGCGTTTTAGATCACACCAGTTTTATCACTGGAGGACGAAGACTGGCAGATTTTGGAACAATACACAGTTGTGATGGACTTTGTACAGGTGTGGATCCAGGAAGCTTCCACTGGGAGCTTGCCATAACCTGGATCCTATAACTTCGAGGATGGGGCTTCCCTGGTGGCTCAGGGGTAAAGAACCCGCCTGCCAATGTAGGAGACGCGGATGCTATCCCTGGATTGGGAAGATCCCCTGGAGAAGGAAATGACCACTCACTCCAGTATTCTTGCCTGGGAAATCCCATGGACAGAGGAGCCTGGTGGGCTACAGTCCATGGTATCACAGAAGAGTCAGACGTGACTTAGCGACTAAACAACAACAAACATCAAGGCTGGGAGCGTGGGCTTTGCTGTTACTCGGTTGGAATCCTGGAGTCCCACCCTGAGCCAGTTGTGAGCTCACCAACAAGCTGCCCCGTCACCCTGAGCTTCAGTTTCCTTGTCCGTAAATCAGGGTAACAGCATCTGTGGATACAGTTGTTGAGAAATGATTTAAATAAGAGAATGCAATTAAAATAATTAGCACTGTGCTGGACACATTGTTGGTACTTATTATTAGTGAACTTTAACATCAGTTCTATATGTACAGATAGGTACTTTTACAGAATCTGCTCAGATTCTGCTAGGGCGATGGAGGAACCTATTGACGGTTTATAAAATTGAGAAAATAAAACCTCTTTGAGGTCAAGAGTTAGAGTCTAGTGAAAGTGAAAGTCACTCAGTCGTGTCCAACTCTTTGAGTCAACCCTAAATCTCATCTCCTTTCTGACTTTAGAGTCACGGAGGCAGAAACATGTAAAATCAGGTCTTGTTGTGTGCTCAGACGCTCAGTCTTGTCTAACTCTTTGTGACCCCATGGACTGTAGCCTGCCAGGCTCCTCTGTCCATGGGATTTCCCAGGCAAGAATACTGGAGTGGGATCCAGTTTGTTTTTCCAGGGGATCTTCCTGACCCAGGGATCAGGTCTTAATTTTAAATAAATATGATCTAGGTGGCCCTTTTATTTTCAGTGTCATGTACCACAAGATTAACCTAAAGATTTTCTGTTCTGTCTTCTTAGGCTCAGACCTGGAAGGCCAGGGCCCAAGTTTTCCCAGCATGAACCTAATGGATGAGGCCAGTTAAAAAAGTCTCTAGTAATCTTAAAATACATAAAACATAATAGAAAACATAAAAGCTTAAGAGGAATAAAAAGAGGCACAAAAGATATGAAAAACATAGGAAATAATTATGATTTTAAAGGGAAAAAAGAGTTGTTGAACTTTCAACGAAAAAGAGTAGAAAACATTTAAAAAAAGGAAGAAAAATGTAAGAGCTCAGAATGAAATGAAACAGTGTGAGTTAGAACAAAATACTAAAATAGTTAGAACAAAATTTTATAGAGCTATAAAATTATAAAAGTCTTAATGACAAGGTAAAAATATATCCGCCCCAAAGATAAAGAATAAATCCACCTGGAAGTGATAGGGCAGTAGCATCTGCTTAAAGACCCACTTAAGGGTCCTCGAAGCGGAAACAATTTCTCAGCTCAGATGGCCCTTTTATTTTCACTGTCATGTACCACAGGATTAACCTATAGATTTTCTGTTCTGTCTTCTTAGGTGTCCTCGATCGACACCACTGAGTGGAGGCTTGGTACCCGTTAACATTGACAGCCTTCATGCAGGGCTCCTGCATGGTTTCCACCCTTCCTCCCAATAGCTTCAGGTTGTAGGTATTGTTATCCTCATACTACAGAGGAGCAAACTGTTTGGATAAGCGCCCTGCTCCATGAGCAGATGGTGGAGCTGGAGCCTGAAACCCAGGCTGATGCCAAAACCCATGCATATTCTTGATTTTCTTCTGCTTTCCAGGAAACATCACCAGTGGCAACAACAAAGAAAATAGCAAATATCCCTTGCCCTTCAATCCCTCCCTTGGCCTTGTCAAGATCATCTGTCAAATTAGGAAAGACTGCTGTTCTTAACAAACAGCCTGGCAATAGTCAGTGTGCAGTGGGTACTCTGTGTATCTTGACAGCCCACTGCTTGTTGTCCAGTCTTTAAGTTGTGTCCAACTCTTTGCAACCCCATGGACTGCAGCATGCCTGTTTCCCCCATCCTTCACCATCTCCCAGAGTTTGCTCAAGTTCACATCTGTTGAGTCGGTGAGGCTATCTAGCCATCTCATCCTCTGTTGCCCCTTTCTCCTTTTGCCTTCAATCTTTCCCATCATCAGGGTCTTTTCCAACGAGTCGGCTCTTCATATTGGGTGGCCAAAGTGTTGGAGCTTCAGCTTCAGCATCAGTCCTTCCAATAAATATTCAGGACTGATTGCCTTTAGGATCAACTGGTTTGATCTCCTTGCTGTCCAAGAGACTCTCAAGAGTCTTCTCCAGCACCATAATTTGAAAGCATCAGTTCTCTGGTGCTTGGCCTTCTTTATGATCCAACTCTCACATCCATACATGACTACTGGAAAAACCCTAGCTTTGACTATATGGAACTCTGTCGGTAAAGTGATATCTCTGCTTTTTAATATGCCACCTAAGTTTGTCCCACTGGAGTGTTACATTTTAAAAATATTTTCTCCTTCTCCCCCTTTTTTTGGGGTTACAGTGTTGATCCCAGTTATTCCACCTTTGACTTTAGTCTCCTAAATGTTTCCCTCCTGTGTCCACTTTTCTTCATCTACACAGCCACTACCAGGTTCAGGCCGCCGTCTGGGGATTCCTTCTGTTAGTTTCCTGTAGCTACTGTGACAAATTACTACATCCCTGGGTGACTTAAAACAACAGAAACTTTTTCTCTCCCAGTTCTGGAGGCCAGGGTTCTGAAACGGCTGTGCTCCCTCCAGAGGCTCTCGGGGAGAATCCGGGCCTCGCCTCTTCCGATTTCTGGGGGCTGCTGACATGCCTTGGCTTGTGGCTGCTGACATGCCTTGGCTTGTGGCTGCATCCCTCTGTCTCTGCCTCTGGGGTCACATTGCCTATTCTCTATGTGTGTCACATCTCTGCTTCTCTCTTAGGAGGATACATGTATTTGCACTTGGGACCCACCTAGATCATCCAGGGTATTCGCTCCATCTCCAGATTCTCGATTTAATTATATTTGCAAAGGCCCTTTTTTACTGTATGAGGTTGACTTTAACAAATCCAAGGGATTAGGACTTGGGCATAGCTTTTATTTTTAATACTTATTTCCATATGTTTATATGTATTTGTTGTATTTATATGTATTAGTATTTATGCAGCTGTGCTGGGTCTTAGTTGCAGCACTCAGCCTCCTCAATCTTTGTTGCGATATGCAGGATCCTTAGTTGTGCTATTTGGGATCTGATTCTCTGACCAGGGATTGAACCCAGGCCCCCTGCATTGGGAGCACAGAGTCTTAGCCACTGGACCACCAGGGAAGTCCTGCGGCTAGAGTTTTGAGGGTCGATTTTCAATCTGCCACACCACTAAACTTCTGTAATCATCTCTGTCTCTTCTGCACCCAGCAGCCCAAGTTCCTATAAACATGCAGATGCAGTCATGTCACTTGGACTTTAAACTCTTCAGCATCTCCTATGGCCCTCGGGATGGTCCTGACTCCTTGATATGGTTACCTCCTCACCTTCCCCTCGCCCACCTTCCCCTTCCACACTATTTCCACCCCACTCAGATCCTCTGGGCTCTTGTGTGCTCTTCTGTCTCCAGCCTTCTCCCACCTTGTCTCTTTTTGCTGTGCTCATTCTAGCTCATCATTCGGTTCCTGTTTAGACTTTGGGCTTCATTTCTTCCGAGAAGGCGTGCTCTGCCCACGCTGGGTTAGTTTTGCCTTTCTGTGCATCTGGTCAGAGCTCTCACCTCTAGAGAGACAGCCTATCTGTCACGTGTGCAGCTGTTTATGGGATGTGTCCCCTACACCTAGCACAGTCCCCGACACACAGTAGGTGCTTAATAAGTGATGAGAAAACCCATAGGAAGGGAGTCCCTACACCTACCAAGCATCATGCCAGCAGCGAGAACGCTGATCCACGCAGAAGGGTTTATGCTGGAGAGGAGTAGCTATGTGAATGCCAGCAGTTCCCACAGATCTTTTATTTTGAAGCAGACATCAAGAATTATGTAATTATGAGATCAAAGAAATATTTTCATGCTTATTCCTTTGTTTTCTTTCAGGCCATTCCTGTGTTTCTCACTTTGCATAATGCAGCCGAAGTTATCATCTGTGGGCACCAGAAGTGTTTTCGGAAAGAGGTAAATGATTACGCAAAAGGCTAGTTTCACTTCCCTTGCTTGAAATTTCAAAGACATGCTTTTTATGTACGGCCCAGGTTAGTGCCTGCCTTTTTCCTGCCATCTGTTTCCAGTCAAGGCTGCCTAACGGTGGTCATTAATTATTTTCAAGGACCACAGTTTCGACATCCCTTTCGGTTACCCAGCATACGCTTGTGGGTCTGAACAGAACTCACCTCCAGTCCAGTAATGAACCAGGGGCTGAGGGGGGCTGAGGAAGAGATGCCTGTGGGCCTGGAGGGTGTGGGGGAGTGGGCATTACCCCACCGCATCCCAGCACCACGAGGAAATTGATGGCAAGCTTCCCATAGGGTGCTGGGAGCTTTAGCCCACCCCAGGGAAAACTTCTTTTCTTCCCCACCCCAGCTCTGCCTTCCACCACCTGGAACAGCTTCCCATACCTTCTGGGCCTCCATCTGTGCAACGGGGAGAGAAATGTCACCCGCCCAAGAGTCGTAGGAGGACCCTATCAACTACTTGGTACTCCCAACACTTTCTGGCACATAGTAGGTGCTTTGTACTCATGAGCTATGATTTTTAATCTTATGAGTGGTAGATTTTTTTTTTATTGTAGTGGTTTTTGCCATACATTGACATGAATCAGCCATGGATGGTAGTTTTATTTTTTAATAATTTTATTTATTTTTTATCTTTGGCTGTGCTGGTCTTTGTTTCTGTGCAAGCTTTTCTCTAGTTGCGGTGCCCAGGTGTCTCACTGTGGTGACTTCCCCTGTTGCAGGGCACAGGCCCTAGGGCTTCAGCAGCTGTGGCTCCCAGGTTCTGGAGCACAGGGTCATTAGTTGTGGAGTGTGGGCTCAGTTGCTCCATGTGATCTTCCCAGATCAGGGGTTGAATCCCTGTTTCCTGCACTGACAGGCAGGAAACTGAGCTGCCACGGATGCCCATTGGTGCTTTTAGTTTGGTACCTCTTTTGAGAGTTCCTTTGTTCTAATATCTGCCTGTTTCAGATGACTTCCATCAAAAATTTGGAACTCTTAAACTCGAGAGAGGCTAGTGGGTCATTCAGGCAACACACTTTTTGTAGGCGTGCTGGGAAGAGAGGTGGTCTTCCGGTGGCCAAGGCCACTCCACTCACTCCAAGGGACCAAGGGACTTTTCTGACACACAGATCTGATCATGTTCCCCCACATACAGCTCTTCAGGACTGCCCAGACCTACCTGGAGGCACACAAAGCCCTTTACCACCTGGGCCCCGTCCATCTGTCCGGCTTTAGAAATTCCAGCCATAGCCAAACTTCTGTCTTTTCCTAGACCATGTCTTGATGTTTCTCTCCTCTGATCTGTCAGGAAACCTCTTCTCGAACCCCCACCCCCATTCACTCTGTGAATATTTCTGCATCCCTGGGTGTGTGGCTGCCCTGCCAGGCCCTGGGTCTACAGTCATGAGCAAGAAGCGTAGTTTCTGCTCTTAAGGACATGACCGAGCCACTGACATTCACGTGGGCACACGCCGCTGCATTGGAAGCTCGGAGTCTTAACCGTTGAACCGCCAGGGAAGTCCTGAGCATCCCTTTTGTTCTCATCTTCATTTCTACTCTTCTTCCAAACTCTGGAGATGTTGGCTATGTTTAGCTCAGAATCTGTTAGTGACACATTTTCCCAAGTTGGGAGCGGTTATCCAGTTGGCAGGCCAGGTCACCTCTGCGTGTCATCCTTCCGGGACCGAAGGGATTCGAGTCTCCACCAGGGGGCAGGGGAGGCAAGGTCCGCTTTGCCTTTTGGACTGTTGAGGCAGGTTCCACAAAGCTGAGAGAGAACATAGGAGAGGTAACGAAGGATCTAAAGACGGGAACCATGGCTCTGTTCACAGACACCTCGTGTTTATTAAACCAATGCCAACCGGATGATTTAGTCACATGTGAAAACTTAAGGGAGCCTTCACAGCAAACCACACAATTCTCTTGCCAGTGCTTGACCTTCTTTAAAAAAAAAAATTGAGATATACTTGAAAGATAAAATTATATTCACTTCAGGTGTTCAGTATAAGGATTCAGTGTGTGTATTTCGAAATGATCACCACAGTAACTCCAGTTAATATCCGTCACCATGCATAGTTACAACATTTTTTTTTTCTTGTGATGAGAATTTTAAGATCTACTCTCGTAACAACTTCCAAAACATGCAGTAGACTGTTGTTAACTGTAGGCACTGTGCTGTACATTACATCATCAGCACTTGCTCATTTTATAATAAATGGAAGTTCGTACCTTTTAAGTGCGTCACTTTTATAGTGTTATTTATTTGTTTATTTTCTAGCTGTGCTGGGTCTTCCTTGCTCCACGACCTTTTCTCTACTCTCTAGTTATCGTGCACGGGCTTCTCATTGCAGTTCCTTCTCTTAGTGGGAAGCACATACCCTGGGACGCGAGGGCTTCAGTAGTTGCAGCCCCCAGGCTCTAAAGCACAGACTCCATAGTTAGTTCCTCTCCTGTATGTTGGATCTTCCCAGACAAGGGATTGAACCCCTGTCTCCTGCACTCGCAGGAGATGGATTCTTTACCTCTGAGCCACCAGGGAAGCCCAGTGCTTCACTTTAAATAATATGGTCATACTTCACACTTCGAGCCAGAGAAAGGAAAAAACCCCAAAACTGTAGTTTGTCCTCAACTAGCAAAACAATCCTTCTGAAATGTACAGAAATAATCTCTTACCTGGCCATTTTCCTTATCAAATGTAGAAAAATCTATGCTTCTCCCTGCTAGAGATTTCTTCCCAAGTGCCAAGGCCTAATTCCCTTAAAGTAATAAAAAAGGAAGTAATAAAGGTGGAGTCTGTGTTAAAATTTCTTTGTTTCTTCATTTCAGGGAGCTGTAAACGCCAAGTTGCGATTTCCCCAATCTGCCCTTTTTTCCTTCTCTCTAGGGGTGGACTCAAATGTCCCTGCTCCTTTTTTTTTTTCTGTTTCCTAATTTACACATCATACCAGAGAATTTATAGCACTGCTCAGAGTCAGAGCTGGATTAATGAAAGGAAAATTTAAAGAGACAGAGTGGAATAGAAGTTGAACCAGAGCCTGATTTCTTTTCCTGCACAGGATACATCGATTTCTGTCTCCTTTTCATGGCGCGTGAGATATTTGAAGGCATGGGCGCGGCGGCATTGTGCCTTTTTGTGGGTAAACAGAGTTCTAATGGTGAGAGTGGTAAAACTACTCATCCAGAAGTGACTCACCTCTGGACCTCTGAGTCATCCTTCATTTGGTCCAAGCAGAAAAAGCCTCAATAAAAACTGAAGTGCAGCAACTTGTTAAGACCCCAATAAACTTACTCATAATTTATGTGCTTCTTGATCTAAATATTTTCTTTTAAGGAGAACAAAAAAAATTTTTTTAAAGACTAATGCTAAGTCTTTTTATTTTCATACAGAAAACTTCTCCTGCAAAGATTTGTAGGTAAGTTTAAAAAAAAAAGCAAAACTCCACAAACCTCTAAAATAGAAGATTTAACCTGATTTTAAACTCTGATAAGAAACCGTCTGTTGATGATTCATACTTGAGAGTTGACAGAGGAATTTCTTACAAACACTCGTATATCCCTGTTTCATGTCTATTTCAAAAATTTACTTCCTTTTTTTTCCCTGAAATATTTTATTTCTAAGGGGAAAACAACCCGTGCTAGGTTTCAACCACTGATGCCCAGAATTTCGCTGAGTTGCGCAATACTGATGAAGAATGAAAATGGAAAAATGGAAACGACTGAAAGTTTTAAAAATAAGGTTTGCAGTTTATTGAGTTTTTAAGAATTCCCACGGTGGAAAAAGGTGCATCCAGGGATCTGAGTCGTGGTCTTGGGCCACATGGCTCCATGGCCGTGGACAGGCTGCACACCCCTGTTTCTCAGGGTCCCCAGTTGAAACATGAGCAGTGACCCGCCTCCCCCCGAACCCATCCCTGTGCCCCCTTTTGTGCAAATTCTGATCCGAGTGCCTCATTCTCTGATGACTTCCTGTCTCCTGGGCAGTAGCTGCGAAGCTCAGTCCTGTAGATAGAGAATCAGCAGAAATGCTTTGATGCATGGATTTGGGCCTTTTTGTTTCAGCTATTTCTGGGCTTTTATCCAATCTCCTTTTTTTTTTGGCCTGTATTACAGGCTGCTACTTGAAGAAGAAAAGAAACCCACAGTCAGGACTCATCCTCTTGTTCAAGAGATTAGCAGGTGTTAAAGAGAGGCATTAAAACCCATTCATGCCATGCCTGGTGGAATCAGGTGTTGCTCAAGGGCAAGTTTGGTGGGAACCTGGGCTCTCTCACACCTGGCAGGCCCCCTTCTCCCCTCAGTCCCAAGGGCCTGTCTGTTTGAGGGCTCTCACACTCATTGCCTGTGGATGGTGAAGTGTCCTACGTCTGAAGCAGGGGTCCCCAACCTCCAGGATCTAATGCCTGATGATCTGAGGTGGGACCGATGTAATAATAATGGCAGTAAAGCGCACAGTAACTGTAATGTGCTAGAATCATCCCAAAACCATCCCCCTACCCTGGTCCATGGAAAAAAATTGTCTTCCATGAAACCGGTCCGTCGTGCCAAAAAGGATGGGGACCGGAGCTCCAAAGCCTTCTGTCCACTGCAGGCAGACACTGAAGTCATGAGGGTCCTCCTCTCCCCACACCTGCAGCCTGTCTATTCATGTGCAGTTGCAGGAATCCTCGATGTAAGCCTCCCTCCCATTGCCTTACCCTGGCCTCTGAGTTGCTCTGCAATTGGGTGCCAGGGAGTCTTCTTGAGGCCATTTGTGTGTGTGCCTTGAAAGTTGGCGAGACTGTAGGAGTGAGTGGGCTGGAGTGGAGAACCTCTGCCGTGTCATCCTGCCTTGAGAAGTCCCACGATAAAATCCTCTACTGGTGAAAATGCTGGATTCACTGTCCTTGTTCATGTCCTTGATCCTTTGCTGTTTGCTGCCTGATGCAATGGTCAGAAGGGACCCAATCCTAAGTATGTTGCTGCCTTATAAATGGAAAGAGGGTAAAAGAGCATGTGATCATGTGGGTATTGTGTTTTCTGCTGCCTTCCTTTAGAAAGAGAGAATGACTGAGACAAGATAGAAGGCAAGGTATGTTGGTATAGGAAACCCAAATACCATATAAAAACCATTTATTTCTAAGTCAAAAAATAACTCCAAATCAACTTTCTAATGAATGAGAAAATTTGAAAGTATCTATGATTGGCAATGTTGCTTTTTTGTGCAAGAATTTTTTTAAAAAAGCCTTTTATGATGGCAATTTCTAAATATATATAAAAAATAAAAAGAATAGTAAAATGAACTTCTGTAGACTCATCACTGAGATTCAACAATTTGCAACTTAAGCTTGCACCCAACGCCTCATTTCAGCAAATCCCAGGCTCTGTAGGATTTCATCCATAAATATTTTTGTATGTATAAGAGATTTTTTTTCTAATGAAATTTTTAATTATTATTACTATTTGGCTGTGCCAGTGACTTGCAGGATCTTGCTTTCCTGACCAAGGATTGAACCTGGGCCCTTGGCAGTAAAAATGGTCAGAGTCATAACCACTGACCACCAAGAAATTCTCTTATTTGGGAAAAAAGTTTAAACTGGTAGAAAAGTTGCAGGCATATTACAATGAACTCCCATATACCTTTTATTTAGTGTCACTCATTGATAACAGTTTTTGTATTTGCTTTCTTTCTCTCTCCATATATATATATATATATATACACACACACATGGTGGCCCAGCAGTAAAGCACCTTAGCCGATGCAGGAGATGCAGGTTCAATCCCTGGGTCAGGAAAATCCTCTGGAAAAGGAAATGGCTACCCACTCCAGTATTCTTGCCTGGAGAATTCCATGGACAGAGGAGCTTGGCAGTCCATGAGATCGCAAAAGAGTTGGACACAAGTTAGTGATTAAACAACAACAACATGTGTCACACAAAATATATATCAGAATATATATAATTATTCTTACTCATATTTTTTCTGGACCATTTGAGGATATGTTGCAGGGATTACGACTATACCCCTAAATACTTCAAAGTATGTCTCCTAAAGATAATAATCTTTTGTGTAACCACAGTGCAATGATTACTTTTAGAAAATTAACATCTCATACAATACTGTTATGTAATATTGAGTTGATGTTCAAATTTGGTCAATTATCCTGATATTTTCTTTTGTAGTATTCACCTCCCCCAAAGATGCCATATCTCTTCCTAACCTTTATTTTTTATATATAACCTTTAATCTGGAACAGTTCCTTGGTGTTTTATTGCCTTTCATTGCCTTCAGATTTTCCAGTAGTGTAAGCCCATTGTTTTGTGGACTGTTCCTGAGTTTGGGTTTGTCTCAGCGTTTCCCTGAGATTCAGTCTAGGTTGTGCATACTACCACATGAGTGACACTGTACCCTTCTCAGTACATCATATCAGGAGGCACATGATATTGATCTGTCCCACTACTGGAGATGTTAAGTTTGATTATTTGAATAAGTTGATAAGATTGTAATATGCTTTCCACAATGTTTTCTTATTGGTAAGCAGCAAAACTGTAGTCTGCTTGGCCACATTTTCCACTTCCCTAGTGGTTCAGACGTTAAAGATTCTGCCTGTAATGTGGGAGACCTGAGTTCAATCCCTGGGTTGAGAAGATCCCCTGGAGGAGGGCATGGCAACCCACTCCAGTGTGCTTGCCTGGAGAATCCCTTGGACAGAGGAGCCTGGTGGCTGTAGTCCATGGGGTTGCAAAGAGATGGACACGACTGAGCGACTAACACTTTCACTGGCTAGTTTTCCACTAGTGTATTTGTTGGGATCGGTAGTTTAAAAAAATCTCCTTTTATGTACACTTTTTTTTTTTTTAACCTCGACACGTGGCATGTGGGATCTTAGTTCCTCAACCGGCAACCGGCCATCCAACCCATGCTCCCTGCATTGGAAGCACAGACTCTTAACCACTGGACAACCAGGGAAGTTCCTATATATACTGTTGTTCCTGAGTGAGCCAGCTGTGGTTTTATACATGTCCTGCAAATGCCTCTTTCTGGGAAGATGGCTCACTGCGCCCCAGAGAAGGAACTGTTTGGTATCTGCAGAGCTCGTAACTGAAAGCTAGACAGATAACGTGGTGCTCAGAGGATGAACAGGGCAGCTGGGTGTGGTCTCTCGGGATCTCTGCCTCACCGGAACTCCAATCCACCCTCTCCGGAACGCCCTTCGTGTTGAATAGTAAAGCTGTGTCTTTTACCTCCTCTCCACAGTGCCCTCTTCCTCCTGGCCGCCGCCGGGTGCCTGCCCTTCAACGACTCCCAGGTAAGTTCAGGTAGACTCACTTTGCCTTCAGGTATCTATCTCTGAAGCCTGCCTGGATGAGCAGAATTTCCGAGTCCTTCCTTTGAGAAGTGGTATGACCCCGGCCTGTGCAAAGACATGTAAAAGCAAACTTTCAGGCAGGGCCTAGGGGATCCATTGGCCAGGCCAGCACCTCCCCTCAGGTCTTTGCCTTCTGTCTGTGTGTGGCAGGGTGGCCCACAGACCTCAGACCTCTGGGTGCTGTGATGGGGGCAGTCCACCCTCTGTACCAGCTTGGAGGACCTGTGAGCCCAAATAACCCACACACTGAGGCAAAATTGATTTTCCCCTCTCATCCCAAGGGGACTTCACAATGGCTCAGCGGGTAAAGAATCTGCCTCCCATGCAGGAGACACAGGAGATGTGGGTTTGATCCTTTGGTTGAAATGATCCCCTGGAGGAAGCAATGGCAGCCTATTCCAGTATTCTTGCCTGGAAAAATCCCATGGGCAGAGGAGCTTGATGAGCTATTGTCCATGGGGTCGAGAAGTGTCTGACATGACTGACCAACTACCATTTTCACTTTCACATCCCAAGGGCCTCATCTACACAGTGATTTTCACTTTGTTTTCCTGAGTTTTTCTTTCTTAGGCACTGAGGACTCACCGCCACCTCCAGGAGTCATCTCTTGCCTGGGTCTTTTTTCCCTTCTTTCCTTCCCCAGCATTGATTAAATTCCCATCAAGTGTCAGGCACCAAGCCAGGCTCTGGGGGCACAAAGAGAAATTGCCTTCATCCGGGCAGAAGCTGGAGTCTAGTCAGAGCAAAGAGGAGGGGGCAGATGATGAACAGATAATTATAACCTGGGGAGGCCAGGGCTCTGTCCGGGGCGGGGTGGGATCCTGCCAGGCGCCTGGGAAGACTTGGAGGCTCAGAGGAGGAAGAGCTGATGATTATATTGAGCTTGCTGGGTGCCAGGCTCTGGGCCAGTGCTTCAGTGCCTTATTTTATTTAATCTCACAACAATTCCACAAGGGTAGCGGCTATTATTGTCTCTATTTTGTAGTTAAAGAATAGTGAGGCCCAAAAGGTCACCAGCTAACAAGTAAGTGGAGATTTTAGAATTTAACCCAGATCTTTCTGATGCTGGAGCCAGGCTCTGTTTACTGGACCTAAATCTTTCTTTATTTGGCTGTTCTTCATGGCAGCGCACAGTTGCTTCTCTCTGGTTGTGGCTCATGGAGTTCTCTCTCTAGTTATGGTGTGGGCTTAGTGGCTTAGTAGCTGTGTTGCTTGGGTTTAGTGGCCCCGTGGCATGTGGGATCTTAGTTCCCTGACCAGAGATAGAGCCCACATCCCCTGCATGGGGAGGTAGATTCTTAACCACTGGCCACCAGGCAAGTCCCTGGACCTAAATCTTGAAGGGTGAGGAGGAGTGAGCCAGGAGAAGAAGGCAGGGGCAGACAGAGTCGTGGAGGTCTCCTAAGTGCTCTGTGACTCAGCCTCATGGAGCACCTACCCTGTGTGTGCCCCTGGGCTAATTCCTGCCCTCTTGGAATTGACCATCTCATGGAGGGTGAAGACAGATCATAAGCTAAATGGAATGTGTCAGGTGAGATAAAAAAAAATAAGGAAGGGAAGGAGAGGAGGGAGTGCCCCTTGGCCAAGTTGGCTGGGGAAGTGCAAGTTCTCTTTCTCTGAAGAGGGGATGGGCAGTGGATGGGACTGGTTGGGTTGACAGGGGCTTGTCATGGGGGTTCTTGGGTGCCTTGTGTTCAGATTTCATCCTGAAGCCACTGGGGGACTGTTGGATGATTTTAACCAATAGGTGACACCATCTGATCTGCCTTTTTTAAAAACACAATGATTCTTTAATTTATTTATGTTTGGCTGTGCTGGGTTTTTGTTGCTGCCTGGGCCTGCCCTTGTTGTGGAGAGCAGGGGCTACTCTCTATTTGTGATGCGTGGGCCTCTCACTACCACGGCTTCTTTGTAGTGGAGCACGGCTTAGGGTGCCCAGGGGCTTCAGTAGTTTCGACACATCTTCTCAGTAGTTGCGGCTCTTGAGCTCTAGAGCACAGGCTTAATAGTTGTGCATAGGGGCTTAGTTGCTCTGTGGCATGTGGGATCTTCCCAGACCAGGTATCGAACCCGCGTCCCCTGCAGTGGCAGGCAGATTCTTTATCCCTGAGTCACCAGGGAAGCCCCTTGGATCTGCCTTTTAAAGATGTGGTGCTGGGGTGTGTTGGGGGTAGGGAAAGAGATGCTGGAGACAGAGAGCCCAGTTAGGGAGATGTCGCGTAGGCCAACTGGGTGAGGAATAAGGAGGGGCTGGCCCAAGGTCCCAGAGTCCTGTCTGGCACCGTGCCTGGTGCTGTGTTGGCATTTAAAATTGCCACGCTGGATCCTGTTTGTCTGTACTTACAGCCTTTTCTTTTTTTAAAAACCCTGTGTTACAGTTTGATCCAGATGGATATTTCTGGGCTGTAATTCACTTACTCTGTATAGGTAAGTTTTTAAAGAATTCTTACTTAAACAATTGAGACTTATTATTTAGACCTCATCACATATCCACTTTTTAGTGATCCCAGACAATAGGAAGATTAAATCCAAGATGTCAAGTTTAAAATTAAATGGGCATTTTTTTTCTGGTTTGATTTTCCTATTTTGGAGTTTTCCCAAAATGGTTCCAGTCCCCATAGAGTCTCCTCTTTCTCATGAAAAAATGTTAACTAACGCACCAGGGCCTAGGTTTCATTTGCCCAGATCCACTTGTGCAGTGCTAGCTGGTCTTCTTTAAAAAATGGTGGGAAGAATTCCATATCCAGAAGTTTGTGTCCATAAAAACTCTTTCAGCAGTACACTTAAAAAAAAAAAAATAGTGGGTGAAATAAAAGGACCGTCTACTTTATTTCAAACCAGTGTTTCCTCTCTTAGAGGGAAAGCAGTGCCCTGACTTGGTGACACACACAGTTCAGAAATCCAGTGATGTTTCTCATGGCACCCTCAGAGGAAACCCAGCCTCCTGTTGACTGTGTCCTTCTGTGGACCATGAGCCTCACTGGCCCAGCCCTTTTTATGAACTGCATCATCTGGGGGATTATCAGATGTGCATCCTTAAAGTCCTCCGGAGTGCCGTGGTTCACCCTCTGTGGGCTGCGGGGGACCCTTGCGGGGAAGAGGGGCCCTTCTCCCCGAGGAGCTCGTGCCCTCTGCAGAATTCCCTGTCAGTGACTCCTGTTGCTTCCTCTCCAGGGGCTTATAAGATACTACAGAAATCCCAGAAACCCAACAAGTTAAGGTAAACTTTTAAAAACATACATGTATATTTTGTATGGAGCTTCCCTGGTGGCTCAAATGGTAAAGAATCTGCCTGCAACGCAGGAGACCCAGGTCCGATCCCTGGATTGGGAAGATCCCCTGGAGAAGGGAATGGCCAGTATTCTTGCCTGGAGAATCCCATGGACAGAGGAGCCCGGCGGGCTACAGTCCATAGGGTTGCAGAATTGGACATGACTGAGGGAGTTGCACACATATATTTTATAATTGATTAATTAAAATTTTTTTGTTTGCAGTGGGTCTTGGTTACCACTCACCAGCTTTCTCTAGTTTTGGCAAGCGGGGACTACTCTTCATTGCAGTGCACGGGCTTCTCATTGCCGTGGCTCCTCGTGTTGAGGAGCACAGGCTGTAGCCACACAGGCTTCAGTAGTTGCAGCACCCGGGCTCAGTAGTTGTGGCTCAAGGGCTTAGTTGCTCTGTGGCATGAGGAATCTTCCAAGACCAGGGATTGAACCCATGTCTGCTGCTTTGGCAGGCGAATTCTTATTCACTCTGCCACCAGGGAACTTTTGAAGTCTGGTAAGTCAATGTTTCCCTAAAGTAAAGGGGGAGACCCATGGGGTTGTGAGCGTCTTCCATCAGAGAGACTCTTGAGAGTCCAGGGTGTGGGGAGGGCAGCAGTTTGGGTCCTCCAAGAGCTGAAGTGTGCCAGCCGCCAGCCACGTGCAAGACCCTGGAAGTCTGTCCTCTTCCCTCAGGGCGGACGCTTAGATGATGTTTTGACAAAAATTATGTGACTGGCTTCCTTGGGCCCCGGTTCATTTCTTGCAGCTCAGAAGCACAAGTCTTTTTTCTTGTTTCTCCAGCCCCTTCCAAACTAGACCCAGAAGTCCCTCCCATCACTAGCTCTGTTCTGAGGTGAAATGAAGCCTTTGTTGAAGGCAGTCAGTGGCACAGTTGCTGAATGTAAATGAAAAAGATGAGAATTCAGGCCTCGGTCAGGCTGGAGCTGCCAGGTCAAAGCCCCCTAGTGATCAGCTGGGTTTGGGGGCCAGGTGAGCCCCACAGAGAAAGGTTTGAAGGGACCGACTCCTGGGAGAAGGCGGTATATACTCTGAGGGTGTGTGATGGGTCCTAGGGCATCGTATTTTCTTTGAATAAAGTGTTTTTGCCGCAAGAAGTTGGTAGAGTTGTTAAGATAATATACAGGATACCCAGTTAAATTTGAATTTCAGCAAATGATTTTTTTAGTTGAAGTATGTTTCATGCACTATTTGGAACACATTTGTACTAAAGCATTATTCTTTACCCGAAATTCAGATTTATTTGGGTGTGCTGTATTTTTACTTGTCAAATATGGTAGCCTTAGAAGCCAGTCCAATGGCCTGAGAGAGGTGACACTCCTTTTATTTTTTGTTTTTTGGCCAAGCCTGGTGGCACGTGGGATCTTAGTTCCCTGACAAGGGATCAAACCCTTGCCCCCTGCACTGGGAGGGTGGAGTCTTAACCACTGGACCACCACGGAAGTCCCAACACAGCTTTTAAAACTGCAGATGTACCTAAAGGAAATAATCGACCAAAATGAAAATGCATGTGATGGTACTAACTTAGGAAATGGTTTTCGAAATCAAGCCAGGAAATGGTTTTGAATATGAAGTACACTTTGTATTGTTTCTTGATAATTTATAAATGTAACTTGTACATAGGTATAATTTATTAATAGAGGAAAATTTTTATTCTGTATATGTAAAACATCTATTATTTCATCTTTTATCTTTTTTTTTTCTTATTCCTTAGTGACACTGACCAGCAGTACTTAAACTATCTATTCAGGTAAAATATAATTTAAAATTTCAAAAAATAATTCATATTCTTCTAGAGCTAATGGGGGATTTTTATTTTCAATAATATCTTGATTAGGGAGATCTGAGCCAGTGTGCCTGCCAGCAAGGCAACCTAAATAATTGGTGAGATGATCAGAGTTGAGGAAACTAAATAGTAGTCTTATCCTCAGGCCAGACTAGCAGGGCTTCCACCCAGCCCAAACTTCAGAGGGCTATGCCTCTCCCTAGGGATTTTGGAGTCTATAAGGCTAATAAGAACCCACACCTTTTCTTCTAAACTGGGCCCTGAAATTTCCTACCCATGTGGATTCCAAAGTTTGTCTTCTTAACTCATTCCTAGACCCAGTGGATGTCCAAGGAAAGGATTTTAGTGGGAAGGTTGTGGGTGGAAGATGGACTTGCAGGCTGAGATGTCCACACACAACACACATGTGTGAGGTCCTTTGGGTGCAGGATGGAGCCTGGTTTGGGGAGACAAGAGGGTGCTTTGGGGGTCAGGAGCCAGAGGCTGGACTTTCCCCGCACTACCACCTTCTGACATGAAGCTCCAGAGACTCAGAATTCTGCTTTAATCTGGACTTCCAGGTTGTTTTGAAGGTGTTTTTGTTAAGGTAGAATGAAGTTTGAGGCTTGGTTTATGACATTTAAGTGTGATATTGAATAATATTGAATAGATTACACTTAAATGTCATAAATCAAGCATAACATTGAGTATATGGGCTTTCTTGGTAGCTCAGTGGTAAAGAATCTGCCTGCACTGCAGGAGCTGTAGGAGACCAGGGTTCAATTCCTGGGTTGGGAAGATTCCCTGGAAAAGGGCATGGCTACCCACTCCAGTATTCTTGCCTGGAGAATCCCATGGACAGAGGAGCCTGGGGGCTACATCTGCATTGCAGGCAGATTCTTTACCAACTGAACTATGAGGGAAGCCCCTATCAGTTTTGGCCTCATAGATTTCTGGAGGAAGTTACTCAACTTAAAATGTTTGACATGAGCTGTATTCTCCACCTACAGATAAAGTTCCTGAATATCTGAGTATTTATGAAAATGCCATTTTGAAGACAAGATTCAACTCAAACATAGCTGTGGCCTCTTTTGTACTCAGCTGAAAACAGTCATTAGTTCCACTCCGCCCAGACCCAACAGCTGCCTTTTCAAGAGATGTTTCTGAAAATGCAGAAAGACTCTTGGTGTTTGAAATGTTTCCATGACATCGCACCACTTTAGACAGTCCCCCCACCCCACCCACCCCACAGAACTTATAGCCAAGTCGAGCAGCAGCAGAGGGTTAAGGGGATGGAAAATCAAGCTGCTGTGACCATCCCCACCTGCTAGTTCTTCTGCCTGTCCCCCTGTGTGGTGAGGGTTTCACTGCCGAGGAGCCTGATGCTCAAGGCTTCCTGCTTCAGACTGCTGATTCTGTTTCTAAGTCTTTTCAGTACAAGTGAAGAAGGTGAACCAGGGCTGAGATTCGATTTGCCATGGGCCCTGAGCATCCAAACCCAAAGATCTGCAGTTGGTCAGATCTGTCTGGACCTCTGCCTGATGGTTTGATCTCTCTGCTGGTTTGAAAACACAGAGAGAACCTGCTGTGTATCTGACCCTGCTAAATACTTGAGATCCAAAGATGAATAAAATATGGCTTTTGCTCCCAAGGCCATCATTGTAGGAATTAAGAAGATGTGACATTATATTTACAAATTTTCAGATGTTGACTAGAGAACCAACTCTTTTATTTAATGATTTTATTTTTACCCCCTAGTCTTTTCTTTTAGAGTCACCCTTTGGGGTGATCCTGATGATGGCATTTGGAATGCCATGTCAGGCCCTGGGAGATATTTTGGGATGGAAAAGTGTCCCTCATGTCCTACCATAAGAGCAATAACTTCCGCTGCTAAAGTTATAAGTGGAAGGGGATCCAGTGAGCTAGAATAATGGAGTATGTAGGGGGTATGTGCTTTCTGGAGAAAGAAGAGACAGCAAGCAGACAGCCTATGTGAAGGATAGAAAAGCTCATTTTGTTTGTGGTGTGTATGTTTTTTACAGCTGCATGTAAACACTTATCTTACAAACCTACAACTTCTGAATGGCCAGAATGTGGCCATTCTCCATGGCCTTTGTCCTGACCCTCCTCTCTTCTCACCTCTTTTTGTGATGCTGCTCCTCTGGGAGCTGTCAGAAAATCAGAAATGGTGCTGGGAGGGAACTCAAGGGCAGGGCAGGGCAGGGTTGATGAACTCACATTGGTTTCCCTATAAAACTGGCCTCTTCTCCTTCCCTGTAATGTCACTAACTGCAGATCTGAGGCAGTGGTTCTCAGCCCTGGTACTTTAGAGCTTCAGGAGCCATGGCAAAGTAAAACCATGGATGCCCAGACTATTCCCTTAGAGATTCTAGCCAGGATACTGGGCTATTCAGATGTGTCTGCAGGGTTAAGAATCAGAGTGAGACCATCCAACATTGAAACAAACAAACAAACATTCTTTCTTCTATTTGAATACAAGGTTTTATTCCTACCTCCAACTAAACCAGCTGCCTGGTAGCATGAGTTTTGATAGAAGAGGGTATGGAAGTTGGGCTTAGGGCCACACAAAGGTGCTTGTAGACAGGCACTGGGAGATGGGACAGGTTTCCAGAGAGGAAGATGGGAGAGAGCCAAACAGATATGACCTGCATCGTCCCTTACAGCATTGACTACAGGTCCAGGTAGTTTTCAGGCACAGGGTGAATGGCATGGATCATGTTGTGGATTAGTTTCTTGGAAATCTAACACTCCTTTTGTAGTTAATTTTGTGATTTAGCTCACAAGTCGATTTAGCTTACATTCAACAGCTAGCTTTTAGGCTGCAGCCTCTTTGTAATTTAAAGTCTGTTCTGTTTCGCTGACAAGGACTCTGTTTAGATGAGCAGGCTATGATGATCATTTGTGGTACAGCTGATGCTGAAAGAAAAGTGTGGACCCTCAGAATCATCACAGGAGATCCAACCCTTTTGCCAAAACTCGAGGCATTTCAGGAGATTCTCACTCTCTTCCTGATGACTTAGATTTCATCAGAATGAGAACATACAGTGTAGATAATTTGCTTTTAGGCAAATCTCACTTTTTCAAGTATAATGGGTGGAAATGGATGCTGTTCTCTCAGTGCTGGGGAAGCGTTCTTTACCAGTCTGCTGTTTCTTTTTCAGCGTGGTGCTCCTGACTTTAGCAGCTCACCCCACAGGTAAGATTTTGTTTGTTTGTTTGTCTTACATTCCCCACTTGACCCAGTGCTCTGACCCTGCTTGTATCTCTGAGGGAAATTTTGTAAGAGAAAGTGGCTGCCTTCCAGGGTATCACACTCGGGTCAGGAATGGCCCACACACTTGAAACTGCTCTTAGTGTTTCATCGTGGAATTCCCTGTCCATGTGCGTGTGTGCAAGCCCTCAGTCACTCAGTGGTGTCCAGCGCTTTGCGACCCCGTGGACTCTATCCCCCACCAGGCTCCTCTGTCCATGAGATTCTTCAGGCAGGGATACTGGAGTGGATTGCCATTTCCTCCTACTTTTATGTGAATTGGTAACAAATAAAATTGTGGTCTATATAAGCCGAGCAGTTGTTTGGAATGAAGTTGTATAATGCACAACTTTGTGCCGCGCAAAAGCAGCCCATAGCTTCAAAAAGCACACAGGTTTGTTAGAGTAGGTAATTAAGGCCGGTAGATATTAAGGTAGGAATTTGGTATGCGAGATTACAGAAGCTCCGAATCTAGAAGATCCGTCGGAGATCAGTTTTTCCCATTTTTATAAAGCCAGGTCACTTGACCTAAACCCTCTGATGGGTCCTGGTGATGTTTTCTCATAGGACCGTAAGGTTGATTACAAAATGTAAGCAGCTAAAACAGCGAAGGAAACTCCCTCTCCTCCAGAAGCGTCCAAGGACCACCCTGATTGGGTGGCTCTTATTCCTGCCAATGTGTTAGCTTTCTCATAGGACCCAGCCCTCTGGGTAGTCTAGCCCATTTTTAAGACAGAAGGACACTTCATTCTTTCCTGCTTGCTTATTACACTTTCTGTGTGAAATGTCCACTTCACAGAATGGGTGTGGGTCAGCCAGAGTGCTTTCAAGACTCCTTATATCTGCACCAATTAAGACATGGTAAGAGCCAGGACCCATGGGTGCAGTCTTTTTCTTTTTTTTTTAAGGCTCTGTTAATTTCCTTCTTTTTTTCTTTTGGCCATTTTGTACCACTTGTGGAATTTTTGTTCCCTAACCAGGGATTGAACCTGGGAAGTTCAGAGTCCTAACCTCTGGACTGCCAGGGAATATCTTCTGTTAATTTCTGACACTTTAAAATAGGGCTTTATCCTTTTTGGTTTTGTCTTACCTCTTCTTTTTTTTTTACTTGTGTCTTCATTATTTAGTAGTACTTTGAAAACATTTTAAAATTGAAATATGATTTACACAAAGGAAATGCATATTCTTAAATGTACAGCTTGATCAATTTTGACAAAGGTACACACCCATGTAACTCACACCTCTATCAAGATATAGAAAACTTCTATCACTCCAGAAAGTCTTCTTGTGTCCCTTCATAGTCATTCCCTCCTTACCAACCACCAGAAGCCCCTATTGATCTGGTTTCTGTTACCATACAAAAGTTCTGTCTATTCTAGAGTCTCATACAAATGGAAACACATAGGAAGTATTCTTCTGTGTCAGGCTCTTGCATTCAGCGGAGTGTTGAGGTTCATCCAGGTTGTCGTGTGCCTCACTAGTCCGTTCCCTTTATTGCTGACGAGTGTGCCAGTGTATGAACCTTTTGTTTACCATTCACCTTATGATGCGCACATGAATTGTTCCAGATTAGGACTGGTTTGAGTAAAGTTGCCATCAACATTCTCATAAAAGACTTTCTGTAGACTTACGTTTTCAACCCTCTTGGATAAATACCTAGGAGTAGAATTTCTGGGTCTTAGAGTAGGCATATGTTTACCCTTGAAATAAAGTGCCAGTTTTCTAAAACATTTGTATTGTTTTACCTCCCACCCAACTGCTAGTGGTAAAGAACCCACCTGCCAATGCAGGAGACAGATGCAGGTTCAATCCCTGGGGTGGGATTGAAGATCCCCTGGAGGAGGGGCATGGAAACCCTCTCCAGTATTCTTGCTTGGAGAATCACTAGGACAGAGGAGCCTAGTGGGCTACAGTCCATAGGGTTCCAAAGAGTCAGACATGGCTGAAATGTCTTAGCATGGAAGCACGCACAGTAATGCCTGAGGCTTCTGGTTACTCCATGTCTTCACCAGCCTTTGGTGTTGTCTGTCTTATGTTAGCTGCTCTCCTAGGTGGGTGATGGTCTCTCAGTAGTGCTTTTGACTGAGCTGCGCTTCTCACTCATTCCTGAGTAACTAGAAAGATAAGTTTTCCTGTGATGCAGATGGTGTGGCTTTGACACCCACCTTTGGGATGCACTGGGACGTGGTGGTAGGTAGGGACCAGGTAGACAGTTCACTGTGTCCTGGGTGCAGACCCTGATACTTCTCCCCTTTTAGGCATTTGGTTTCCTTCTTGGTGAGTGGGGTCTACGTCTCCATCTAATCTTGCAAAGTCACAGTTCATGCAGAAGCTCCAAGAATCTTGGAACCTTGCTTTCCCTGGGACTATTTTAGGTAAGAGTAGGGAAAAGAAATTCTTCCTTTGTTTGAAAGGTTGCATTTCCTCTTTGTGTGAGGTCCCTCTCCGGTGGCATTTTCAAGAGAGAACATTTCATAGAACCAGAAGGGCAGGAGGACTTGCAGGAATCTGACCAGAAATGACCTTGTCACCTGGTGTCTATTGCTAGTACTGAGATAAAGCCAACACTACTCACTACATCTTGCAACTGACCTTCTGCTTTCCCACTGATTCTGAGTACTAAAATGTGGTGAGAGGAAATTTTCCTGCTGTTCAAATATCAGTTGTTCTTGGATGTAATAAGATCATTGCCACACTTTTCACTGTGGCAATTTCATGCTCCATTATCTTCAGAGAGATGGGATTCATTCCCTCAGAGAGTCAGCAGAATTTTAACCGTGGAGTATGAGAATGAAGGCTTAACTCAGACCTCGGTGTATAAGCTGCATGTTGATACCACCAGACATGTTTACAACGCTTGGACCACTTACTTTGTGCTTAAAGTGGGCATTCTGCTCTAGCGGTGCAGGAGTGTTGTCTTTGGAGAAGGAAATGGCAACCCACTCCAGTACTCTTGCCTGGAAAATCTCATGGACGGAGAACCTGGTAGGCTACAGTCCATGGGGTCGCAAAGAGTCGGACACGACTGAGCAACTTCACTTCTTCACACCATTTTTAGGCTCCTGGATTTAGTTCTTACGTGATTGGGTCCAGCCAGCCACATACTGCAAGATCATCAGGGCTAATTTTGTAGCACAGTTGAAAAGCTGGTGTGTACCCTCTCTGTTAAAGTGAAAAAAGAGGCCAGCTAAAGTCATCAGACGGGAAGCATTGGGGATCATTTTGAGATTGATTGGGCTTCCCTGGCGGCTCAGACCATAAAGAATCTGCCTGCAATGCAGGATGCCCAGATTTCATCTCTGGAAGATCCCCTGGAGAAGGAAATGGCAACCCACTCCAGTATTCTTTCCTGAAGACTCCCATGGATAGAGGAGCCTGGTGGGCTACAGTCCATGGGGTCACAAAGAGTTGGACATGACTGAGCGACTAACATAAAACTTGAGATTGAAGACCAGCAGAACCAAGTGGAAAGTGTTTGGAACATTCTCTGTAGGGAAAGCAGGAGTGTTGAGGTCTCCTGGATACCCTTGGTTCACCAGCACTTGTTATTTGTCAGAGATGGCCCTAACACAGTGGATACGAGTGATGAATAATCATAGAATCGTTGCAGTCAAGAATGGGATGGTTCTAGAAGAGACCGTCATGGGATCAACTCCGTGACAAATGTGTGAGGTTTTAGAACTGGCTCAAAGAGAAGAGCCAGCCGTGCTGTCTCTTGCTCTCAGTAATTTATGTGATCAATTTTTCAGATTTGGGTGAGGATTATCATGTAACTGGTCAATCCCTTAGGATGGTGATTTTTTTTGCTTTATCTTCCTCCCTCTACTCAGGACCACTCTACTGCCCTTCAGATCCCTCCGCAGCTTGGGCTGGGCTGTCAAGACTGCCCCTTGCCCCCACCTCCCTGTTCCAGGCACCAGGAAGGAGCCCAGTTCACTTCCCCTGAATGAGGGGGTAGCACCCAAGGAAACATGAGGTCGTGCATTTAATGTATGCCTCTCTGCCTAGTTCTCCTGATCACACAGACTGTACTGCAGTCTCCCTTACTCTAAAAAGGAGGTTGGGAAAAAGCCAAGAACCAACAGCTGCTAACATAGAACAAAGCCTTGGAGAACAGCCTTCCACCCTCCCGGAAGGGGGTCGGGGCCGCCCAGTAGGATCCGGATGCTCAAGGTTACCCTGGCTGTCGCTTCTGGTAAGAAAGGGACCTTAGAAGCAGTGGAACTCTTCATACACTTTACACGTCTGGGCCTGATGTTGGTTACAAAGTCCCTCACTCAAATAAGTCTCGAGTAGACAATAGAGGTGTTCAGTGAGGCTGAATATAAAGAGAACCAAAACTCTTAGCCTTTTGCTGGGCTGTGAGAAAACCAGATCCTTGAAGACCCTCTCACTTTAAACACAGGTACATATGCACCAACCAAACCAAACAAAGTCACAATAGTTACGGTATAAAAAAAGCTACCCTCCAGAGAAATGGAATTCACACCTTTCTTTCCCAGTTGATGGTGGAATCATTTGATATCATTTTTTAAAAATTTAATTTTTTTAACACCAAAATCATTTTGTATTGGGGTATAGCCAATTAACAATGTTGTGATAGTTTCAAATGAATAGTGAAGGAATCATTTGAGATCATTTAAGGCTGAGGAAGCATAGCATGCCCTGTGTCTTTAGTTCTGAAACTCTTGATTAATAAGCTTAGTGATCTAATTTTACATATGGTAATATATATGACTCAATGCTACTCTCTCAATTCATCCCACCCTCTCCTTCACCCACCCCCTGTCCACAAGTCTGTTCTCTATGTCTGCCTCTCCATTGCTGTCTTGCAAATAGGTTTATTAGTACCAGCCAGTGGAAATTCACTGGGAACTCAAATCTGGTACTCTTCTCTCAACCTAGAGAGGTGGGATGGGGTGGGAGGTAGGAGGAGGTTCAGGAGGGAGGGGACATGTGCATACCTGTGGCTGATTCATGTTGGTGTATGGCAGAAACCAATACAGCAATTGTAAAGCAATTATCCTCTAATTAAAAAATTAAAAAAAGAAAAAGTGATGAAGAATGTTCCACTGCCCCTACTGTGCTGTGAATGCTCAGAAAAATCAGCCTTTCTGGCTCCAGACCATCCAGAACTGAGAGACAGACCCAGGCCTGGGGGTCTTGAAGGCCTGGCGCCTCCAGAGTCTCAGAAATCCGAGATTTGGAAGGATTAGGCTCTCTGCCGTGGAAATGCTTAATTCCTTTTCTCTGGACATTTTTGGAAGGCTTTCTGCTTTTTTAATCTCCTGACTTCTTGTTTGTGACCAAGTTCAAATTCCAGAGAGGGAAGCAGCCAATATGTGTGATTTTCCTCTTACACCAAGTGGAACTAAAAGAATGAACTTACTTCACTAGAAATAAATGTACCCTTTGGACCTTAAACTAAAATGAGTATGCATGGCCGTTGGCCTCTGCTCTCTTTGTGTGGTAATTAAAACACAAAAATGAGAAAAGATGTTTGAGGCATGCACTCATGATCCTTTTTTAGATATAAGAAAAAAAATAATAGAAAAATCTTAAAAAATTACAGTGTGTTTCTGGGCAGCGGTGGGCAGGGGGCTTTCGGGCGTTGCGTCTCACTCTTGCTGTTTCCACCAGGTGATCTCCTCAGCGTCCTGGACTTTCCGTTCCTGTATTTCTACGGATTCCACGGCAGCTGCTGTGCCAGGTAATCCCGGCTCGTAAAGCCCCTCACACTGTGGATCTGCATGTTTCTGTCCTACCACCTGTGTCTTTGTGAAGCCCAGGCTCACTGCCCGTTGTCTGAATGTGCCACAGAAGAAAATGGTGCCTAGTACCAATGAGGAAGGTTTCCCCCTCAGCCATCAGGGGGTTGTTAAAGGACATTCTTGGATGCTCAGAGCTGGCCTGGGACCTGCAAGGTCCCCTGTCCTGAATAATTTTCTTAGCCAGAGCAGTGGTTTTCAGAATTGCAGGAGAGAGAGAATTCTCCCACTTTTTTCCTCCCTGACAAGCAGTTCTTAAACAGAACTTCAGTATGTAAAAATGATGAAACTGATTCAGTTCAAGGTAAGATTCGGGTGCAGATTCACACCCTGTCAGCTTCTGCCTTGTTTCTAAGGGGTGACCTCCAAAAAACCTTGACTGAACCCTAAGACTCTTAGATTTTGAAACCAACAGCTAGGAGCTATCTAGACCACAAGGTGATCCCTAATATTGGCTTTGGGAAGTATCAGAGATGTGGACCAATTAGATGGATACATTTATGGTGCTACTGATAAAGAATTCGCCTGCCAATGCAGGAAATGCAGGAGACACGGGTTCAATCCTTGGATCAAGAAGATACCCTGGAAGAGGGCATGGCAACCCACTCCAATATTCTGGCCTAGAGAATCCCATGGACCAAAGAACCGGGTTGGCTGCAGTCCATGGGGTTGCAAAGAGTTGGACACAACTGAATGTCTGAGCATCACAGATAACCAGAAGTTCATCCCATCCTATCCACCCTCTTTCCTGCATGACCCCCACTTCACCTGACTTTCTTGTGCTGAGAAATGGAAAGGCTTCTGTGGATAATCTCAAAGGATGGATTCTTTATTTTTTTTATCATTATTTTTTAAAACATTTTTATGTATTTATTTGGCAGCACTGGGTCTTTGTTGCAGCATGTGGAATCTAGTTCCCTAACCAGGGAGCAAAGCCAGGCTGCCTGCATTGGGAGTGCAGAGTCTTAGCCTCTGGACCACCAGGGAAGTCTCAAAAACATGGATTCTGATATATTTGAAAGATTACACTTGGGTTGAATTCCAGCCTTGCTGTTTGCTCCTTTGTGTCTTTGGGCAAGTTATCCTAGTTCTCTCAAACTTTAGTTTAGTTTTCTCATCTGTAAAATGGAAAGATCATACCAATACAGGGTGACTGTGTGTATTAAATAAGGTACATAAAGTTCTAAGCATCTTGCCCAGTCCAGCAATGGTGAACATTATTATTACCTGTAAATAGAATGTCAACAGACCAGGAGCAATTGCTGCATGAAAGCCAGATCAATTGTTCCCACACAAAAGAGATTGTGCCTTGTGAAGCAGTGATTCTTCACAGAGTCAAAAAACTGATATGCAGGCTAGGTGCTGTTTCTGATGGGGGTGTGTCAGCACACACACACACTCAATATTATAGAGTATGCTCCTGCATTTGGGGCTTCCCTGGTGGCTCAGATGGTAAAGAATCTGCCTGCAATGCAGGAGTTTCAGGAGACCAAGTTTCAATCCCTGGGTGGGGAAGATCCCCTGGAAAAGGGAATGGCTCCCCACTCCAGTATTCTTGCCTGGAGAATCCCATGGACAGAGTGTCTGGTGGGCTACAGTCCATGGGGTCGCGAAAGAGTTGGACATGACTGAGTGCTAACACTTTTCTGCCTTTGAGCCGCAGAATGATTAAAAGAAAAAAAAAAATCATGCTCAGAGAAGTTTCAGGAAAGCACTGACAGAATTCATCTTCTCTGTTCCTGTCTCTTTGGTCAGGCCTTGTCACTTGCCTGTTAGCTAGGATTTGTGGTGTGAGTGTCCATGGGCTTGCTTCCCTTTGAGCCTGGTTATTTGACTGCATTGGGTGACCAGGGTGCGGAGGGAGGGCACCAGGCTTAGTTAATTTGATCAGAGCAACAGAGTTCACGGCCCATGGGTGATGGCTTTGTGGGGTGATCTTCTGCCTCCATTTGTGTCCCTTTTAATCTGTCTCATAAGCCAACATGAAAAATCAGGTTTTTTCATTTAAAAGATTTGGAAATCTTTAGTTAGTTTAACTCTCCATTACGTTCTACCTCTCGCTTCAGCACACAGAGCTTACCCTCTTTTAAGAATGTGTCAGGACCTCCCTGGTGGTCCAGTGGTTAAGAATCCACCTGCCAAGGCAGGGCACATGGGTCCAATCCCTGGTCCAGGAAGATTCCACATGCCACAGAGCAACTAAGCCTGTATGCCCTATAGCCCATGCTCTGCAAGTAGAGTAGCCTCCCTACCCCCTGCCACTTGCTGCAACTAGAGAAAGCCTGTGTGCAACAACAAAGACCCAGCACAGCCAAAAAGTTTAAAAAATTGTAAAACTTTAAAAAAGGAATGTCTCCGTTTTCCCCACATCCTCTCATGGCTCCCCCATAACTGTATCTCAGACTACAAGTTGTCACCTCCAGAGATACTGAATGGCTTCCCTTGTGGCTCAGATGGTAAAGCATCTGCCTACAATGTGGGAGACCTGGGTTCGATTCCTGGGTTGGGAAGATCCCCTGGAGAAGGAAATGGCAACCCACTCCAGTACTCTTGCATGGAAAATCCCATGGACGGAGGAGCCCAGTAGGCTACAGTCCATGGGATCGCAAAGAGTCAGACATGACTGAGCAACTTCACTTCAGAGGTACTGGGGGAGCTCAGGAGGGGTCATGGAGGCCTGAGGGATCAGAGGCCCCATTAACAGGGAGCCCTAGGCTTCCTCACTCCTGGGGTCCACCCAGTGCTTTTTAAGACCTGCTTCCACATTGAGAGGTAGGCGAGCTGGAAGTGGAAGAGCTGGATGAGGGCAGGACCCACGAATCATTTAGAAACGATTAACCGACATGGAAGTCAGGTGATGGGAAGGACTCATGGGTACTTTCAGGAGTTTGTTGGTCACAGAGCAGGGGTAGCTCAGTCCTTCTAGAGTCTGTGCTGAGGGGAACCATGCCCTCAGGAGAGGACAGGAGGAACCCCGAGTGGACCGAGGTATGGCGGGTGAGAGCCAGGCACCTGTGATGTTGGGGCTGTGGGGCATGGATGCCACCAAGGGGAACCCTGGAGGGCCGGCCACCTCACTGACCCCTGCCAGCCTCACAGTCACAGGCACCCAGAGCTTCTCACTCCATCTCTCCGGCAGAGAGCACATTCCACAGCGAGTTCTGAAGGGCTGTGAAGAGCTTTGGAAGAGCCAGGAAACCTGGACCCTAATTGTGTCTGTGCCTTAGTTTGCTTATTAATAAAATGAGACTTGGGGCTGGGGAGCCTTTCTCTTTTGAAGATCTGATTCCCTTCAGGTGGGATGCAATGACTATCCTTATTCCTACTTTGAGAACACAGAACCGAACCTGGGGCAAGAAAAAAAAAAGGGGGAAAAAATGGGGATTTGGTCAAGGTTACACGGGTTGTTGAGCACAGCCAGGAACAGAATCGCAGGTCACTGGATTCCCAGCCTCTTGCTTCCCCACAGGGACTCCTGTGGGGGCGACTCAACGCCTTAATCCAGAGCGGGCCAGGCTCCCATGTCTGCAGACGCAGACCTGTGCAAACTTTGCAGGTTGTTAGGCCAAACAGGCTGGATTGCACACAGAGGAAACCTAATCCCTGTCTCTGGTTCTGCCCCAAGAATGTGAGCTCATCAAATCTAATGAAGTGAAGGCGCGCATTTCTGTGAAATCTGGCCTGAGGTGTGTTTAATCAGTTCAACCCGCTTCTAAGTACACCTGTCAAGACACTTACGTAATGCCTGCTGAGACCAAGGCACCTTGTTTGAGTCTGTTGGGGAAATACAGAGATGCCCAAGATGGGACCCCTCCCTCTCAGGGCTCATGAGCTGGGTGGGAGCCACACCCCAGAGCCCATAATAGAGGTCAGATGGCAGGATGGCACCCGACACCCCTGAAAGTACAAAGGAGGAGGTACATAGAGGCCAAACCCCTGGGAGGCCAGCCTCAGGTCCCCTTGGGAAGCGAGGGCTCTTTCAGGCATTATTCCCAATGCATCTCTTCTGTGTAGATCCCCTTGTTTTGGGGGACTTCTATTACGCAGCCTTCCGCTTGGACAGCAAGGAGATCAAACCAGTTGATCCTAAAGGAAATCAACCCTGAATATTCATTTGAAAGGACTGATGCTGAAGCTGAAGCTGTAATACTTTGGCCACCTGATGTGAAGAGCCGACTCATTGGAAAAGACCCTGATGCTGGGAAAGATTGAAGGCGGGAGGAGAAGGGGATGACAGAGGATGAGATGGTTGGATTGGGATCATCAACTCAATGGACATGAGTGTGAGCAAACTCCAAGAGATAGTGAAGGACAGGGAGGCCTGGGGTGCTGCAGTCCGACTTAGCAACTGAACAACAACAACCCCTTTAGATTCTTTTTTGTTTAAACTTCTTGTTTTACATTGAAGTATAGCTTACTAACAATATTCTAATTGTTTCAGGTGGACAGCAAAGGGACTCAGCCATACATTTATCCATTCTCCCCCAAATATCCCTCCTATCTAGGCTGCCGGTTAACATTGAGCAGAGTTCCCTTGGTTCTTACCTTGAACGTAGGGGCCAGTCCACACCCTCTGACTTCATATGATGAGTATTTTCTTGGAAGTCTTTTCCTAACAGTTTGTTCTGCTTGAAAAAAAAAAAAAAAAAGTTGAAGCACTGCCTTGGCAAAGACCAAGCTCCAGAAGTATTATAGGAGGGAGCAGGAGATACTGTCCTCCAGATTTTTTTTTCTTTCATGATTTACCCAGAGATCTTCCAGATTTCTATACCCACTCCCCACCTCCAGGGAAATGATCTCATCATAGCTCCTTGGCATAGTAGAGCTTAATGGTTTTTTTTTTTTTTTAACTTTTGATGTTTTTATCCAGAGATCATTGGAAAACAGAGGTGAGATAGAGGTGCTGTAATAACTAAAAGTTGACTAATGTTTGTACAGGTAACTAAAAAATGTCACAGAAAATAGCTACTGGCTACAGGAAGATAAGTCTCACTTAAAAAAATCTATTTTCTCCTTGCAGCGGATTTTTAGGGTTCTTTCTCATGTTCAGCACCATGAAACT